GTCGGAAACGCAATGTTTGCCATGCGAGGATCAGCTATTCTCTCTCAAGCATGAAAAAAGAAATTAATAAAGAAACTAATTTCGGTGGTTAAAAATGTGCTTGTTGATAGCGTATCTTGAGTTTGTATACAAACATATCTTGCTTATTTGGTAGATGACGAAACACAATATTTGCAAAGGCTTTTAGGCCCGAAAACGTATATAACGCACAAGAAATCACTTGCAAAAAAGAGCGAAATGTAAACAACGTATTTTACATGCATAAACGATAACATTTGGCTTTAAATTTATAGAAAAAATAATGAGGCAGGTTAGAAAATTGGTTTTTGATGGATGAATTCTGATTATAAATTAGTATAGAAAAAGAATATTATCAAAAAGCGAGGATCGTCTTTGTAAGTCAGGCCAAAGTTTTGAAAAATATATGGTAAATTTTATTTCATTTAAAAATATATCTATGCGAAAATATTTAAGAACTAAGTTTATATTCTTTTCACATTTATATTTAATTCTAGAATCTTTCTGAACTTATTTTATTTTCTCTATTCAATAACAAAGTAGGGAAAACCACGCTCTTTATCTTTTTTCTAACTTCCCTGTTCATACAGGAAAGATTTAAACAAAACTTTTTTCTTTCGATTCAGCTATGCGGTGACACCTTTATTTTTAATACTGTGAGAAAATATTCCCGAATTTAATCGTATTTTCCTTTTTAGTTTCTTAGTACTTTAGGAGTGTCTGAAGTTGTAGCGTTAAACTAACTAAATATTTCAAATGTGTTTTTAAACTAGCATGTATAAAACATAGTACATAACATATATCAACATATCTAGTAAATATATGCAAATAGCTACTGTACATGTATACATATGAAATGCTGTAGTTACGATAAGAGTAGACCCGTTTGTCATTTGCGTCTGCAAATCCTTCTGTTTTATTTTCTGAATTAAATGTTGACTTTAAAAGCTAAAATTTCGTGAATATTAAGCCTAAAATCAGCCCTTTTTATTTTACACAATAAAAATGAATGGAACTGGTTTTCTATTTAAAGACGTAATATTCTAGCGAAATTTTAATGGGTTAACTTTATTTGGCATCTTATTTAAAAACTATTTAGCTAATTTAAAACATTACTTATTTAACGTAAGCACTTCAACATACTTCTTGAAAAATTGCCCTTTTCGCATGGGGAATTAGTAGATATCATCTTAGCAATAGATAAAGGCCACAAAGTTTCATTCAAACCAATGCAAGCTGATATCATTTATATCCAATAATATAGTTCGACAATAACATCCTTTACGACCATTTTAGTTAACTTGTAACTCTGACTCTTACTCTTTCTTCTTCTAAAGTGTTATCTTCAAAAATTAAAATATGAAACTAATGCTTTAAATTTAAGATAGTGGGCGCACCTGTCTTGATACTTGAGTAAAATTAATTGTACTTGCAATGTACAATTAAATGTACTCTACAAATTATGCTGAAAATTAATTATGAAGAACTGGATTGCCAGTAATGGCGGTTTCATATTAAAATTCCTTCATCTCGCTATCAGTTTATCTACGTATATTTCTAGCTTTCTCTTTCTGTGCGTGTATATATATATTAATTAAAATGCTGACTAAAATTTTTTGCTTTTAATAATTCATGGTTTTAATTGAATTTCTGTTCCTTGGAGATGGTACATATATATATACAGAAAGAGAGAAGCGTATAGCTATAAATATTTAGATATATATTGTAGGCAATCGAATTTTTTTAATCAGAATTTTTTTTTTTTATCTTTTCTTAAATTACTTCGAATTTGCTGAATGAGTTGGACTTTGAAGCAATAAACTGAACAATTATATTTTAACTGGGAGAAAAGAAAAGAGCGTTAAGAATTATGAGAGTTGCCTACAACCAATTTAGCTGTTTAGACTGATTTATCGTCGTGTAGTAAGCAAACAGTAAAGTTATTAAGCTTTGAAAGTTACTGTACTATATTAATACGCTTTTTTAACGAAATAATGAAAATGCTGTATACGGTAAAAAATGAAGCGCATTTAAAAATAAACGTAAATAATATTTTTTTTAAACTTTCATATACTGTTCATCCTTCAATTTTAAACGCATTTTAATTTCGCCTAAAATTAAGCTAAATTTTAATTTGTAGCGAAACGTTTTCACGTTTTACAATTCATTCATTTCACAGTTTCAAAACTGAAAAATCATTCTATTTTACACTTTTATTTTTTATCATGTGTTATCGAATATTATTTCAGCAGTGTATTAAATTCAAGTGGATAAAAAGGAATATTATCCCATTAGTTCTTTAAAAATAATTTCATAGTGCCTTATTTCCTTGATAAGTTAGAAGGGAGCACATCAGCGGCCGACCGGCAAAGTCGCTGAACACTGGTAATTCGACCTGTGTTCCTTTTTAGGCAAACGGGCCTGCTTCATGGGTGATTTCGTGATTTTCGCTATGTTCATGCAACGTGGATATGAGCCAGTTTTCCTTAGAAAGCATCACTGCCCTTAGGCAGATAGCTTTCGAGCGCTTTGCCATAATCAAATAAGTAGAAAACAATATTTGGTTGGAAGAAACTTGATAAATGAATGTAAGAGAACATTTTTTGTCGTGCTTTCACTATAGAAATTGAATATTTGTTTTCATTGATTACCTGTTCAGCATTTAAAAATGTGACTAATGTGACTAAAAGTACTTATATTATTAACTATGATAAATCTTATGCATATGAAAGACTTCTTTCTTTCCACATATACACTGAAGTGACAAAAGTCATAGAATAGCAATATGCAAATATACAGATGACAGTAGTATCGCTTAGAAAATGTATAAATGCGAAGTGCTTTGGCAGGGCTTTCATTTGTGTTCAAGTTATTCACGTGAAGAGGCTTTGACGTGATCATGGACGCACGACGAGAATTAACAGACTTTGAACGCGGAATGGTAGTTGGAGCTAGACGCATGGGTCATTCCATTTCGGATATCGTTAGGGAATTCAACATTCCGAGATCCACAGTGTCAAGAGTGTGCCGAGAGTATCTAATTTCGGGCATAACATCCCACCATGGACAGCGCAGTGGCCGACCACCTGCACTTAACGACCGAGACCAGCGATGTCTGCGTAGAGTTGTCAATCTTCACAGACAAGCAACACTGCGTCAAATAACCGCAGAAATCAATATGGGACGTACGAGGGACGTGTCCGATAGGATAGTGCGGCGAAATTTGTCTTCCTTGGGCTATGCCAGCAGAAGACCGACTCGAGTGCCTTTACTGACAGCACGACATCACCTGCAGCGACTCTCGTGGGTTCGTGAGCATATCGGTTGGTTCCTAAACGAATGGAAAACCGTGGCTTGGTCAGATGAGTCACGATTTCAGTTGGTAAGAGCTGATGGTAGGGTTCGAGTGTGGCGCAGACCCCACGAAGCCATGGACCCAAGTTGTCAACAAGGCACTGTTCAAGCTGGTGGTGGTTCCATAATGGTCAGGGCTGTTTTTACATGGCATGGACTCGGTCCTCTGGTACAACTGAATCCCATCGAACATTTATGGGACATCATCGAGAGGTCAGTTCGTGCCCAAAACCCTGCACCGTCAACACTTTCACAATTATGGACGTCTATAGAGGCAGCATGGCTCAATATTCCTGCAGGGGACTTCCAACGACTTGTTGAGTCATGCCACGTCGAGTTGCTGTACTTCGCCGGGCAAAAGGAGGACCGACAAAATATTAGGAGGTATCCCATGACTTTTGTCACTTCAGTGGATAGAGACTTTATGAATTGATGAAGTAGAATTTGATTTTGTCACTAATATAGATTGCTTTCTTTTAATTATAACCAAAGAAATTCCAATCAAAATATTAATTTTATGTAGTCATTTTCTTTTGATTGCTTTAAAAATTTATATGAATTGTGGAATCTCAAATCCGCACTAAAATAGAATATTGATGTTCTTTAGTTAATGCTCTTATACCAGTTTTCATGTATCGTGCCTGTAACTGTAAGATGATCAATTTTTCCTCCTTTCTGTTATATTTAATACATAAAAAATATTTCCTTTACATTTGTTTCTAACGCATGGTTATGAAATAATTGACACGATAATATGCCTTTAATAAAGCTTTTAACTTTGAATGTTTAAGTTATTTTAGTGTATATTTACGGTATGAATACTTTTCCCTTCACTGTATATGTAAGTAAAATTTTGGTGTGGATGACGTGGGACATGATGTAGCCTGGTACTAAAGTCTGATTAATCGGTTCAATACTTCCTTATTCTTGACAAGCATAGCTTAACTGGCGCAATTTGCTCGCCTGTTCTGGAACAATTGCATTTGTGCTTATTAAATTTTTATAGTATGCTTGAAATAAGAAAAGTTAAGCGTTGCATGACATGATAACAAGGAAGATAAGAGAGAGAAAATTGCATAGATTATAATATGAAGATAAGTATAATATAGTTATGGTTTTATTTTATTCCTATAAGTAAGATAAGATTTTGGCTTGAAAATTTTAACATTATTATTGTATTATTGGGAGAAAGTTTTTTTTTTCCGTTACTTGCATCATGAGTATTATACGAGTATAACACGATGGAGATTAATTTTGAAATTACGCAGCTCACAGAGATTTATTATAACTACGTTGGTATTTTTAGGATAGAGAGGTAGTATATAATTCAGGAGAATCAAGAGGATACGTATTTCAACCACAAGAAGTTGATCAGAACTGAAGCAATTATAATCATCATGTCCCCCCCCCTAAATTTTTAACTCTTATATTTTCTGCTGATTATTTCATATTAACATCAATATCTTTTTTCAGTTGCTTTAATGAACATTAATACGATAGATATACGGTATACGATATATATACAATATACGATATACGATATATATATGCTTATAAAAATTTTGCTAACGCCTTTCTTTCTTTCTTTTTTTTTTTTTTTTTTTTTTTTTTTTTTTTTTTTTTGCCAGGCATCGGGGGTTGCAACCAGTTAGAAGAAGAAAGTTCCGAATCCTCATGTACTTTATCCGATGGGAAGACATTTCATTACTAGGATGCGACTTCATGGTTTGTAATGCAACAGAAATATTGAATTTTAAAGTCATGATTTGTAAAAACTAAGTCATCATTTCATTCATAATGTCTGTGATAAAAGCCATTAAAAAATTCTTTTCATTTTTTAAGACTGTTCTGTTTTCTTTCAATCTGCCATTTTTTAAAGTTTTTATCATAATCCGAAAATGGACTGAATTTTTCATATTCAGAACATTTTCGCATCAATTATTAACTGAACAAATTTTACTTCACCTTATATACCATTGTCTATCGTTGTCACTGGCCAAAAAATATCAGGTGATATCATTCATTTTGAAGGGTATACTGCGAGTTAAGTTCTGCGGTAAAATATCTGACTGCTGGTAGTTCGGACCTGGGTTAGATTCCAAGAGAACGGGCTGGCTGCATGGTCGTTTTCGTAACGTATATATGCTTATTAACTATTTCCCTTGGAAAGTCCTTCACGAAAGCGTCTCTCTCCTTAGGCAGATAACCCTAGTGTGCTTTGCTATAATCTACGAAACCAAACCCTTTAAATTCATATAACTTTTTTTTATGAAACATATATACTAGCATAAATTTTGCTTAACCTTCGGTCGGGCGCAACTGGCTTAAAAGTCACAGCTCTGACTTTCTTGTTCATCGTTTTCCCTTAGGAATGGAACGAATCTGTCTCACCTAGCAGTTTTTCTTGCTTTAATGTTTTGCGGCATTGTATTCGGTTGACTTTCCCATACCGTGGAGGGCAGTTAATACTATATTGGTCTCTCAGGCACATTGCTCCCAAATACATTTGAAGGTTAGTAATATTTATTATTTTTTGTGAGTTTTTATCTGAGTTTTCAATATTTTTCGGAAAAATATCGATTATTCCAGCCTGGCTATCCAGGCGCATTGTGCCCGAATATGTACTTGTAGCGATTGTGGATGTTTAAAGTTTTCAGTATTAAGGTTTTTAGAACATGTTGACATGTTACGTTGTCGTCTATGAAAACAAATTTATCACCGACAGCACCACGGAACATGCGAATATGATGCAGCAGAACATTATTAGTATATCATTGGCGAGTCATAGTCCTAGTTGGAAGCACACAGAGCGACGTATATCATTGCTCATGATCCCAGCCCACACCATGGCGCTACATTAGGATTCATGACCACTCTCATGCCAGATTAAACGACGTCTACGGTTCGATGACAAACTGATCCTACCCATATCTGAGTATAATACACAAGCCTAGTCGTCTTCCATCCATTTGCGATGCTGAAAACACCATTGACGGAATGATGTCTAGACAATGGAACTCACACAACAGGACGTATAGTCCCCCTAGATGCAAACGTCCTAGTTACAGCTTTTCGGGAGATTGGCTTGCCAGTAATAGCAGCAAGTAACTGATTTGCTACCTCAGTAGCCGTGCTGCGTTGCTTCCTTTTGTCGAAAGCACTATATACCTAGTTTCTGCAGGCGTCGTACTGCGAACATGACTTTCCTCGTGACATGTGATACGCATTTCGTTTGTTTGAAAGGGATTTGAAAACAGCCTTGAAACAACACTGGCTGACGTCGAACTTCCTAGCAACTTCTGTTATTTTTCGCTCTTCTTCAATCTTGCCAATAATATGGCCAAGCGTAAAATCATCTAAGTAATGTCGGAAAGACATAACGAAAATTCCAAGTTCGTTAACTGATTATTTCCCGTTAAGTTTTGCTTTTGAACAGCACTGATCAATACCCGACAAAATATTTATATCGCTTATCAGCGATACCACGTGACGAACAACTTCGGTAATCAAAAATTTGCGTACGCACATCACATCTTACTGTATCCTGCGCTTATGCTAAATTCTATATTTTCCAGCCTTCCATTTTGCGGTTGCTTTCTCTGCTACTGTCATCCATCCTTAGCAATTGTCTACCATTAATAATAAAAATATATGTGAAAGACTGAAGGGAATACTTAAACTCTGATGCAGTAATATACTTATAAAAGGAATAATCACTACTGGAGTGAATGTCCGAACACAGTGTACCAGACTGTACAATAATTAATATAGAAAGAGAGAATCAAATGCATAGAAATTTAAGATAAGTATTATTAAGTACTAATACTCTTGTACTGTCCTAGGTAATTATTTAAGTAAATCCGTCTGGACTAAGTAAAATTAGCCACTATGAATTATGCCCTACAAGCACATAATTAATGCAAAATACCGCAAAATAAATATAAGACAAAAAATAATTCATTACAATTGGAATGCATGTTCATTTTGAAGCATATTACTTCTAGATAGTTAAAGACGACGTGCTGACTTGACAGAAATGTTCAAACAAGCCGGATTAGTATTAGTGAAAACAGTTATAAAGTGCTAAATCCCAGCTGTAAACAAAAACATGCGGAGACTGCACAGTAAAGAGGTTATCACACATGGCTACAGTCCCTGCTAGACGGGACTTTTCTGAGAAACGAGATTCTGGTAGCACTGGTTTAAACGGGAGGATTCCTAGAAAATAGAGCCCCGCCTGAAAGTCCCGCCTAGCTACGGAAACAATGCTGCGGCTACGCGGGATTTTTTCGAACCTTACTGAAAATGTCTCGGCTGGACCTCAGTCTCAGGTAGAGACAACCAATCAGACGAAAGTTCTGCTTCTGAAGCCTCACGTGATCCCAATCTGAGCGATATTCGATTAGTGTTTGGCGTTGAAGTCTTTGTAGTAAGTGAAAATGGTAACCTAGCTACGTGGGTTTTCTGGAATTGTGCGGGTTCTGAGAATTGTTCCTTTCGACGTCAAGTCTCGCGTAGCCGAAATATAATGTGATTGGGACTTAAGGTGATGACATACACTTACCTAAAACTGGTTTGCCAGGGCAACAAAAGAGTGACCTTGCTCAGTGAAGTAGTTCACTTCCCTTTACGCTGCAGCAGCAAAGCAATGGCTGCCGTTTGATTAGTATTAGAAAAAGTTGTTTGCAAAACGGCAGTTCACAATGAAAAAGCAACTTAAATTTATCCTAAAATTCTGAAAATTATATTGTCAGACAGGAAATACTAAATTCTATCCTGAGTGATGAGAGAACTTCACGGATGAGGACAATGAGGTTTACTATTCATTCTACTAATAACTCCATGTTGTACTAATCTTAATAACTCCATATCATACCAATGGGAGAATCCTATGGAGAGGCACTTAAGTAATGTTTACAAAAACTTTCACTGTGAAGACAAAATATTAGCATTAAAAAATAACACCACCATATGAATCTACACATTTCACACTTTCTGTTGATATGGATCGTTTGAAGTCATTTCGAAACACTGCACGGATGCGCGATGAGAAAACGATGAACATATGTAATTAATGCACAAGTAATCCCGTGTTAACTCAATGGGAGATTCCTGCGGAATTGCTCTAGGGTCATGTATACAATAACTCTCTCTATAAGAACAATAATTTATGCATTCAAAAAATAACACTACCGTATGGATCTACACTTTTCGCATAGTTAGTATAAAACACTTGATGTTATTACGAAGCACTACACAGATGCACGATGAGAAAAATGATAGTCAATAACGTTCTTAGATGAACTTCACCATTATTGGTGAAATGTTAATCTCTTTCGCCAGTGATATAAAAATTAATAAATCATAAAAAATCCAGTGAATACCACTGTTCGCTGTGAAGCACAAAAAACAAACGACCTGCTCGTTCGGTTCTACTCACCTGTACCTGATAAAGAGACTGCAAATGAATACGAACAAGATTCAGAAGCCAACTATTTTTTTGGAAATGACAAAATTACCAAATGGGCTAAAATTCTGCTCTTGAGAAAAATTTATAGGCAAGTTCACAATGTCATAATTCATCTTCCTGGCAGCATAGGAAACGCTAAGAAAGCTCAAACTGCAATCAATTGTTGGAATAATTTATTCTCTGACGACATCTTGGACATGATCGTTTAGCTACGCAAACCAGCACATGAAATCCATCAAGCATAAATTTTCCAGCGAGAGAGATATCACACCCACCGAAGTTATTGAATTAAAGGCTTTCATTGGTTTGCTGTATGTAACAGGAGCTCTCGGAGGGTATCGTCCAAGTCTGGAGGAACTTTGGGGAAAAGACGTGACGGTGTTGAAAAATTTGGCTTAGTGATGAATATCCAAATGGTTCAAGATATTAATACGTTACCTTTGTTTTGACGACATTACTAGTGACACCGAGTGAATCTCATCTTATGAGACCTGCATTATAATGTTAATTTTTTTAGCACTCTATTAAATTCATTTAATTTGTTAGCCAGACAATTTATGTCATTTGGTGCTGGACATGAAATTTTGACATTCTTTTCTGTAAGAGTTTTCTTAAAAATAAATGCATTCATTTTTGCAACGAATTATGTTTTTAATAATTGCTGCATATTAATAGTATTAATTACAATTTCTTATCTGCGCCTGTAAGGAGCATTGCGCCCGAAGTCGGGAGTGCAAATATTGGGTGCGATGGAGGAAAATCCGTATTTGGTTTATGTATCATACATTTGCACGTTTAAATATTTCCAGCATTAATCAAAATTTGATTTCGAATTTTTGGATGTTCTGGCGCGATATACACTGCAAATTTTCACCTTTCAGGTATAAAGTTTCTTTTATTTATTCTTTGCTTTCATTAAATTTAGCCGCTTCAGTTTTGCCTTTGTTATTCATGTAATTAACAAGACCTTGAAAAGGAAACAATTTTCTAAAAGTTTGGCCTGCCAAAAAGTTACTTTTAAGGCCAATAAATTCATTGTTAAAAGCAAATAATATTTTATTGCTTATTACTCTGACATATATTTATTGACAATACAATTATATTAATTGGTTCAAATGATTAATTAATTCACGGCTCATTTCGTAAAATTAAAACATAAATTCCTGTCAACAACAAATATTGAAGGAATAGATTAAATTATGATCAGTACCGTTAGTTAATTATAATATTTTTTGACATTTATACAAGCAAACTGATTTTAAACCCGAAGCAATTTAAAAAAAAAATTATAAATACTAGTGGTCTCAGTTTTCTTTGCTTAAAACGGAGGAGTGGGGAGAAATGAGAGCATTTAGAAAACGTTTTAGGTAA